GTTCTTTCTCTTTGATGTCATTCATTCCGTAATGCTTTTATGTGGCTATTTTCTTTTTGTGTGGCTAAAAAGAACAATAGAGAGAACAATAGAGTAGCCACATAATTACTGTCCTGTGAGAACTTCCGTCCTTCCGTCAGACATTTTTGTCCGGAGCATATCTCTAAATGTATTTGAGTTATCAACTTGAAACTTCATAGGTGGATAGACCTCATTGAGGAGGAGTGCAGTGCACAAGAATGATAACTATACCATTCATAATTTTTGAGTTATTGCCCTTTGTTATTTTTCATACTTAATTTTTCACCTGAGTGGAGCATAACTCAAAAAGTGTTTGGGATATCAACATGAAATGTCATAGGTGGATAGATCTTATTGAGGAGGAATGCTGTGATCAAGAATGATAACTCTTCCCTATACAATTTTTGAATTATTGCCCTTTGTTCTTTTTCATGCTATTTTGTCCGGAGCTTATCTCAAAAAGTATTTGAGGTATCAACTTGAAACTTCATAGCTGGATGGATCTCATTGAGGAGGAGTGCAGTGCACAAGAACGATAACTCTACCCTGCATAATTGTTTAGTTATTGCCCTTTGTTATTTTTCAAAATTAATTTTTGTCCAGAGCATAACTCAAAAGGCCTTTGAGATATCATTATGAAACTTCATAGGTGCATAGATCTAACTCAGGAGGTTTGCAGTGCACAAGAATGATTACTCTACCTTTTATAATTTTTGAGTAATTGCCCTTTGTTATTTTTCATACTTAATTTTTCAATTCAATTTTTTTCTTAAAAGTATTTGAGGTATCAACTTGAAACTTCATAGGTGGATAGATTTTACTGAGGAGGGGTGCAGCACACAAGAATGATAACCTATCCTGCATTATTTTTCAGTAATTGCCCTTTGTTATTTTCAGCCATCAGTATTCACATAGGTTTCAAATCTGTAATCACTATAGCCATCAGTTTTCATTACCAAAAGACCTTAAAATGGAGTTATTCTGCTCTACTACATATACATTCTTCCAATGAGCAAACACATTCGGCGGGAGATAGCCATGTTGACATGGCTCTTGTATGTTTTGGATGTACGATGACTTTTTATCTTTTATCATTTATGAAATTACGACATTATGGTTAATCATTGTCATAACAACTTCATGACACTACTAGCTTTTGTTGTTGTTCTGATGTGTTATAAGAACTAAAAAACTGGTATTCGATTCAAATAAAGTGGCCTTTGTTTACTGAGCACTTCGTTTTTCTGTTGTTACGCGAACTAACTTGAGAAAGTTTTTGTCATTTCTCGACGGTAGATCCGACTTACTTTCTGTGCAAGTGACCCACTTCTACTCCAACAATATATATGAAGAAACAGTGATGAAAAACACATGACCATAGACTTAGTTCATTAGTTCATTTGTTGCGGAAAAATACGCCTTGCTAAAGGATAAATCAAGCGACCACAGAATTACTTATCCGATACTCTCCATATTTAGTTTAGTCCTACTTGAGCTAAGCTGACAGTAATGTAGATCTACAAGGCAGAACAATATTCATGTAACGCATGAACCTAACAAAACATTATCCTCACAAACTGGTGTGTGTAGAGGCACGTGTATTTGGTCAGTTCCTTTAGGTTGGACTAAATATTACAATACTATTTCTCAAGGCTTTGGCGCTTCTGTTGCAATTATTCAGTGTTTTTTTTATGTTTTAATGATTCCATATAATGTTGTAATGTATACCCTTTCATTCATTTTATCTTTTAGAGTGTTTCAAAGAGGAGACTTTTGGATCGGGGCAGACGTTTTGAAAAATGACACCAAATTACTTGTAAATGCAAGTGCTGATATTTTCATCGGGATGCCAAAGATAGAAATTGTAAGCAATGTTAAATAATGCTTTTCTATTGGAAATAAAGAAAATATAATGAAAATTTTAAAGCATATTTTAGAGGTTAATGATTGTTACTTATTATAGTAAAAGCAAGATGATGATAGTTCAAAGAGTGGTCAGCCTACTCTAGTTCAAAGAAAGACCTGCTCTAGTTCACTTGATGGTCTGGCCGTATGCTGCTGACAAAGTGACATCATTTTATGGGCAGTTCCAAATTCCATTTTGATAATAACAATATCTATGCATTTGCATTGATTCATGCATAAATATTGTAACACACTTAAACGGAAAGGAGAAAATATGTGTTTACGAATAATTTTACGAGAGCACTTGACATTATTGTACATTAAAACAAATATAAGTGTCTCAGGGGGCCATGTAAAATTAGCTGACGGGTAAATTCATTATCAAAACATAATTGAGCCGCGTCGCGACAAAACCAACATAATGGGTTTGCGACCAGCATGGATCCAGACCAGCCTGCGCATCCGCGCAGTCTGATCAGGATCCATGCTGTTCGCTGTCAGTTTTTCTACTTGTAATAGGGTTTGTTAGCGAACAGCATGGATCCTGATCAGACTGCGCGGATGCGCAGGCTGGTCTGGATCCATGCTGGTCGCAAACCCATTATGTTGGTTTTGTCGTGACGCGGCTCAATTATCATACGACTTTTTACTTAAGTTATATGCTGTTTTTATCAAACAGATGCTTACATCCATTTTTCTGGACGAATGGAACACTTATATACGTATGACCTTATCAGCATCGCCTACAATTAAATTTAAAGTTTTTGGCAAAGAATATTCCATTACCTTCAAAAGTCTTCTTACATCCGAAATGAATTTGTATTTATCAGTTGGAGGTAAGTTTTCATTTTTAATTATTATATTTCAAAACAATAGCATTCACGCAAAATACACTTGGAAATAATTTGATTTTACAATATTCATATAAGAATTGCGCTTATTGTAAATTTAAATCTTTGCTCAAGAGAAAATAAAGTTTTATTCAAATGTTTAAACATATTTTAAATTTTACCGTATTATATCAAAGAACTGTTAGCAGCATTTAGTGTTGTTATTCTTGTTATTTTGAAAAGATGTAGATCCAGTTGTTGCATAGCATGTCAGGGTAATTTATCTATTTTTGGAGTCTCTGAGGCCTGATGGTTAAGGTCGCCGATTTTAAACCAGTTGCCGCACACTGCCATGGTTTGAAATCTCGCCAGTGACTTTGGATTCTTTATTGCTTTACGGGTGGTTGTTGATTCTACTTTTGAGCTCGCTCGTGCCTGAAATAGTGCACGAAGGGAATACCGGAAGTCTTTCTCAAACAGGAAAGCTGATAAGTCGCCATGTTATATACATATATATTATCAGTGTGGCTTGAAGCCCAAACAAAATTGTGTTCATTGAAATTAAGCATGGTATGATAAGTATTACAGTATTTTTTCCACAGTGAACGCATTTCTAGCATATTTTCAACTAGCATGTATAGTTCACTATTATAATCACTTTATTTTATTATCGTATTTATATTTATTATCAATTTTAGAACATCTTTGTATTTTACTATGCATTTATCTACTACAGGTCCTCAGCGAGTATGGTGTGGGGAAAAAGCCAACCCTCCAGGAGTTTTCTTTTCCTTCCTTCTCGAAATCAATCCTTTTAAGGATGTTCCATTTTTATCGGAATGGGGTGTAGCTAATATTCACGAAGCCTATGGATTCGTTACATACGAGCCCCCACAAGCGGTTGTTGACATCAATATTAAAGAAGATATTCTAAACTTTAGGGATATACTAGATCGACTTAAAGGTCGCTTCAAAATAGAACTTAAAAAATTAGGCATAATATTTAGGAACACCACATTGGTGATTGCTCATGATATTGAAGTAAACTTTGAATCTATGAAGAGACTTGTAAATGACTTATTAGATGACATTCTATCAGGCGACTGGAAAGCAAAGAAACGTCTTGTTGAACAGCTATGGCAAGAATACCAAAAGGTGGAACATAGGATTAAATTATTCTTTGACGATACAGAATTTATCGCTCAAAATGCTTTCAAAAATTTTACAAATATCATAAAAGATGAAATAGATTTTGTAAAAACTAATCTTAAGAATGCCATGGAAAAAGTGACAAATTCTTTGGTCATAAAGAACACGAGAGAATCCGGATATACAGGTTTCGGGTTGAAGTACACGACTAAAGTTCAATTTCTTGGTCTTAAATTAGGCGAATTCGATTTAGAATTTGTTGATTCTGTCGAGCATCTTTTTAAATGTAGTCGTTTTGACACTATCAGTAAACATTTTGAAGGCAAAAAAGCTGTAAGATTTATAGGAAGGGCATCACGTATATTTGTTTTTTATGTATTCATAAAAATTCATCTTGGTGCCGGCATAGGTGGCGCTTTGTCAGCAGATAAAGATAAATTTGCTCTACAACTTGAGACATATGCTCAGTTTTTAGGAATGAAAGCAACAACTGACCTATTTATCACCAATAAAGGATTATATCTCTATATGGAAGGTAATGTTTGGGACATTTTCTTGGCACAGTTAGATATTTCTGCAGAAATGAAATCAGAGTGGCATCACATTGTATACAAAGTAAGTGGTCGTTTTCTAGCAAAAAGCAGAAAAAGGCGTCAAATTCAGACCAGAAGCGAATCATTTCAAGACAGCTATTTAGATGCCTTGAAAAAAGTAGTTAACAAGATTGCAGATATGGCGACAAAACGCTTAAGCCAAGCACAAGAAGGCCTCAAAGCTGCACATGGAGGACTTTCAAAAGCTCAAGACTGGCTTGAAGAGAAGAAATCAGTTGTAAAAGGTGCAAATGAAAAGTTTGATAGAGCTGTTGCCGCACTAGAAAGAGCAAAGGACAAGCTAGATGATGCCAAGAAACCATTTGAAGAAGCATTAAGGAAACTCAGTGCTGCTCAGAGGAAGGTCGATAATCTATGTAAAATTCGATCTTGTAAAAAGTTGTGTATACCAGGAGTAAAATGTAGAATTTGCCGAAAAAAGGTTGGATGGGTTAAGATTCCATATCCGTGCTGTAGATTTACAAGCTGTATGATTAAAGTTCCAGATCCAATATGTGTTGCTGCAAACTTGGCGTGCAGAGTTATACGAGGAGCTGCTTATTTAGCTTTGGAGGCAGCCAAGATATTTGTAAGAGTTCCTATGCTTGCATTTGATGTAGCAAAAGCAGCGGTATCAGTAGCCCAGTTTGTTGTTGATAAGTCACGTGTCGTGTTGGATGTTGCTGTTGGTTTGCTCGATGTTGCCAAATTAGGATTAGAATTTTCAAAAGGTGTTCTTGAAGCAGCAAAGGCAGTTCTTGAGGGAGTTAAAATCGCTATCGGTGTTGCTGCTAAAATTCTCGAGTTTGTAATAGATTTTGGACTGAAAAATTTGCTTGACGTCAGAAATTGTGGTTTTAATGTGGAATTGTCGACCCATGACCTACCGGTATTTGATATTTTTTGCGACGTAAATGCTTTCCGATTAGGTTGGAAAACTATCACAATAAGAATAAACTTTAAAAATCTAGTGCAAAGTTTATGGAATGCGGCAAGAGCAACAATTGACATGCTTAGTAAATTGATTGGTGGTTTCGGAAGAAGACGTAGAGAGCTAGAATTTAAAGCGTCTGCTAAAATGCACGCATATATTAGAAAAATCAGAGAAGCTAATTTTGACAACGGTACCTATCGGTTTTCAAGTGTAAGCAAAGAATTCATAGATATTGTTGATGAAATTCTTGGATTTAATAATCATAGTAATACTGATTATGAAAGTAGGTCAATAATTTTCAAAGAAAAATGTAAAACGACCGCTCATGTAATGAAATTTATGAACGATGCGTTAGGATCATTGAATGAAGTTGTGTATGAATCCAGAAAGTACATGGATGAATTAGCCATTCTTAACGATCAGCTTCAACAGTTTACAATCGAAGGCCTTGCGGAAAATATGACATTAGATAATGCAGGAATAAGTAAAGAATATGCAGAACGAGATTATAACATGACAGAAGATGACCTGAATAGAGCATTAAATGAATCAAAAGCTGCCCTTGCTGATGACCCGCTTCTCAGGGAAATAAATTCATCAGCTTCAATGGCAATGGATTCAATGAATGCAGAAAAAAAGTCAACAGAGTCAATAAATTTTCTAGAAATTTGGTTGGATGAAATGTCAAACATTTCAAGCGAGTATTTCAATGCTTCACAATGTAATGGATTCAAAGACTGCGTCCTATATGCTGTTTCCGAATTATATACTTCATTTGAAGATGAGGATATTCCAAATGTAGACAACATCCGAAAAGCTATTCTTGATTTAGAATTCATTCTAATAGAATTATTCCAAAACCAGTCGTCATTGATTGAAGAATCGGCAGCCGCAATGGATAGTATCATGTCAAACATAACATTTATCAACGAAGCTAACCCATTCTGCTCAGAAGCACCTATATTTCTAACGGAGTTGAAAAATCAAACAGTACTTAATGGTACAGATGTGTTATTTACATGCAATGTTACCGGATCCCCGTTTCCAAATATAAAATGGTTTATGGAAGACAACCTATTACCAAACGAAACAGAGATGCAATTGGTGATTAACAATGTGACAGTGAATGACAGCGGCGTTTATAGGTGTGAGGTTGGAAACGTTGTTGCTAATCTAACATCAGCAAACGCCTATCTTCAAGTCTTTACATACGGTAATTGCTTTAAATCACATAATTATTTTTTTTGACAGTCAACCCTATTTGTTCATAAAGAAGAGCGTGTTTTTGCATGCCGAAACTATTCGGTCACACTCATGATATATCGGTAGATTTTACACAGTTGTCTGTTTGCTTGTACATTTTACGGGGAAATTTAATAAGAGGTCCTTCTCTGCGAATTAAAAAAATTTAGTTAGTCTGTAAAAGGAAATAATGTGGAATCTGTAAAGATCGCCAAAGACGGCAAAATTAAAAAAAAACAAAAAAAACAAAGCCGTTAGCATCGAATACTTAATGTTAATGTATGGCAAAATTGCAAAATTCACAAAGGTTTTTACATGTACATGAATACTTCATTATTTTTCTCCACAGTTTAAAAAGTTTTTTTTATCTTATTTTGTCTTCTACTTGCCCGTTATCAAGGTTTATTTATATGATGTTTAAGGTTGAAACGTCTGGCATAGCTTATTACTGTATTAATTGTGAAAAAAAAGAGATAAAAGGGATTTAAATGGGATATGAAAATAATCTTCATCAATATGTGTACGTTTCAGATGACGATGAATGCCAAACGGAGAATGGTGGATGTGAACATACTTGTGAAAACTTTGTTGGGTCTTACATATGTAAATGTTTCCATGGTTACAGACTAAACGAAGATCGCCAGCATTGTGATGGTATGTGTATGTAATAAAACAATTCCCTTCATTTAATTATTGTACCAAATAATGTAGTATGAACATGGCAATTCTCATAACTGTTTAAACACATATTAACATTATTATGTAAGTAATCTATGTATGAAATATTTTGTACATAGATAGGAAAACACACAATTATGATTCATATTATGGACCACCTATGACTAAAAGAAGACAAACTTGTCTTAAAAAAACTAATCTCATCATGTACATTGTGTTGAAGGTTGGAAAGATAGCATCGTTTAGTAAAAGATTTCTTTCAAAAATGTTATAGTCGTACAAACGACAATAGAAATATATAAGAAAAATCCAGATAAACGTCTCGACTCATTCAAAAAAGTAATAAACTATGTATTTACTAGTGAAAGCTTAAAACGGCCTTCAGCTTTTTGTTTTCTGAAAAACAATTCTGTCTTGTATAAAGTATTTCAGTAATTTTAAAAAGTGCATTATATTACTGTAAGTCTTCTTCATAACAACGGCCCGCGTGCTATACATAACGCGAGAGTGACGTTCATTACTTAAAATAGAAGATTAGGAAACGAACCGCCCGCTTTACTAAATTGAATAAAGAGAGCGGACCGGTAGATTAGAGGTATCTATCTAGGGGTTCCCTCATAGTTTATTAATTTTATCGTCGACAATATTCATTTTCCACCTAGATTCTTTTGATTTGACAATCATATGAAACGATTTATATGAAAATAGCATATTTAACCTTTATAAAAGCTGAAGGCAGCTTTAATATTCAAACGTACAAAAATGTATCTTATTAGCATAATAACCTTATAATTGTGCTTTAAATGAAAGTTACATTAATTATTGACAGATTGAAGTAGAATAATGAAATACCTTTTATCCAGATATAGACGAATGCTTGAGTGGTATGTCAACTTGCGAGCAGACATGCTCAAATAATCAAGGATCATTTACATGCGGATGTGAAGATGGTTTTGAGCTGAACAATGACGGTCATTCCTGTCAAAGTAAGTACTTGTAGTGCACAATCTAGCAAAATCTATGCTGAAATTATTACATTGTCATAGTAATATTGATAATAAGTATGTAGATGCATAAACACCCTACTGGAACAGAAAGTGTATGGACTTTGCAACCAGGTGTAGAGCCAGGTCAGCCTGCAAATCAATGCAGTCTGGCAAGACTATACACTATAGGCAGACCAACTTTAAATTCCTCTGAATATCTCCAAATATGATAGACAAGTCCCATTTAAGAAATGTAGCTGATGATATGCAATATTTATAATGCAGTATTAAGCATGTTTCCAAATTATGTGAAATTGCTTTTTGTATCATGCATATAACAAGATGAAGATCAAATATACTTATTTTTCTATATTTTAAAACAATATTATTTTCTTTCATCTGGACTAGATGATCGTATGTTAGGTAACTATTATACCTAAGTTTTGTCATTATTTATTTCTAACAATCAGATTCTTTAACATACTTAATTACATAAAAAATATATTATGAAAATTTTACTATTTGCAAATGATGTTTGCAAATGGGGTACTGTAATTTACAGATGGCAGTGTAAATGGTGTTTTACAACTGACGTAACTATCCAAACCTCTACTTTGCAAATGGCGTCATGTAAAAAATATGTACAAAAAAAAATAAAAAATAAAATATGTACGAAAAACTAAAATGGAATATGTTTGCAAAAATTTATTATGTATGCAAAACAAAGAAAATATGTCCGAAAAACTAAAATAAAATATGTATGCAAAACTAAAATAAAATATGTATGCAAAACTAAAAATAAATATGTATGCAAAACAAAACAAACAAAAAAAATAAAATTTTTTGCAAATGTCACTTTTATGCCACCGTATGTACACGTAAGAATAATTAGAACGTTATTGCTCAAATAGAAATTTTACATTTTCTTTATGTGTGATTGCTGTTTTAAGACTGGTAATATATAAAAGTAATCATGCAAATAATTATAATATTAATTTCCTTTAATTTTTACAAACTAAATGTGACCTTGAAATATTTGTGCAGCAAGCGCCGATCTGTTAAGTCACACAAGATATAGGAAGGGTGACCTGGCAAAGGATCTCTTTCGTTGAAATTAATTGATAAGGATTACATTTAACAAGGCAAATCCATGTAGCCTAAGTCACTCATTGTAGTAAACTTGTGGACGCTTGTACACACAGAAAATCAGACATATTGTATTATATCAAGGCATCTTGTCATAAGTTTAAATTTAGTTTTGCAATATGGCTAAAGACGAACGCCGACTGTTGTATCAGAGCTGTGTAATTGTAATGATATTGTTCTGTGAAGGAGAAAAGAGGTTGATCTTGCACAGTAGTGATGACATTGCCAGTGAATTTCAATTAATACGCCAGGAAATGGAGGAACTGAAATCAAACTATTCACGAGAAATACAGGCGCTAAAAGCAAACCACTCGCAAGAAATACAGGCGATAAAAGCAAACCACTCGCAAGAAATACAGGCGATAAGAGCAATGAGTAACGGTAAAGTGCTTAATTTTACTTTATATAAGCACAGATTTTTTTCTGAAAAGGTTTGGAATCGTTCTATTGCTTATTGAGAGATTTCTAATTTACATGTTGGCTGCTATTAATTAAGGATCCTGAATAAATTTATTTTTTCACCATTAATACAATTTTGATTTACCTTGTGTTAAGAAGTAATTTTTTACAACGATATCACGTTCCATTTGGAAAATCAAAAACTTTCTGGAAACATTAATTAGCTTAGGAAAAATAAACATGTATACGTTTTGCAAAATCTTAATTCTTATCCCTTTTATCTATTTTCTTTTGTTGAAATCTGTAACATTTATTTAATAATCAGTATAACCATTGGTATATTCTTTGTATCAGATCAAGGCTCGACGTATGTAAGATGGGGAAAAACAACGTGTGGTGGAAACGGAACAGAAAAAGTGTATTCTGGTAAAAAAAATCTAGAAATATGGGCCTTAAATTCATGTTTAACAAGTCTCCTCTGTTTTTTTTATCATAAATAGCGATCCAATCTGCACAGTGCAAGTGCTACCTTAAAAATAAAAATCATGATTTGTCAAACACAAATGGTGAGATATAAAACCCGGCGCCTCTCCCATTTTTCTCAATAAAACTGATCAATTTTAATAAATTTGGTATCAAATAAAATATTACTTACCTTTCTAGGGATCGATGACCTTAAAATAAGAATGAATTAAGTACGGTATTTGTTTCAAATTTTATCACTTTTTCCTCTGAAAACCCCACTCTCGAAGTCGGTAAAGAAAAACACACTTTTTTATAATCATAATTTTTCCGCATTTCAGGATTTACGGCAGGTACTCCGAATGATTTGAATGGTGCTGGAAGTAATCTCTGTCTCCCCCAACATCCTACTTGGGCAAAATTTAAAGATGGTATACAAGACATTGGTGGTAAAATTTCTGGTACAGAGTATCAAATTTATCAGTCTTTTCAACCATTTCCAAAACTGATGGATGATGAAGATGTCCCATGTGTTGTATGTAGAAGTCCAAGACCTACTACTTTAATAATACCCGGGAGAAAGGATTGCTATTCAGGGTGGACAATAGAGTATGTCGGTTATCTTATGTCCGGAAACAGTGCACATACCGGAAATGCAGATTATGCCTGTGTCGACATTGACCCAGAAGCTGTTTATCACGGAGAAGCAGATCTGAACGGCAAACTATTCTATTTTAATGAAGTTAAGTGTGGATCCCTACCGTGCCAGGAGTATCCAGATGGACGAGAGCTTGCATGTGTTGTATGTTCTAAATAACTTTAAGTTAGAGAAATAAATGTACTCAAACATACTTGTTTATAAAATTTAAAATGCTTTAAGTGCAATATGGCCTATGTCTCTAACACGAACATACTGTTCATTCTTTAGACTGGCAAACTCGAGTTTTATGACAATGAAATAATGGTTTAATAACCTGTTATGTGTTAAGTGGTGCTGAAGATATATGCCATAAAAGTAGCAAAATAAAAATATTAAGTAGTATTTTGACTTTACACTGAATACTCAATCACTTTGACCATTAGCATTGCCAAAAAAATGTTCTTAATAACTTTAAGTTAGAGAAATAAATGTACTCAAACATACATATTAATAAAATTTAAAATGCTTTAAGTGCAATATGGCCTATGTCTCTAACACGAATATACTTTTCTTTCTTTAGACTGGCAAACACGAGTTTTATGACAATGAAATAATAATAGAAATAATGAAATAATCTGTTATGTGTGAAACATCTGAAGAAAGTGGTGCTAAAGATATATGCCGTAAAAGTAGCAAAATAAAAATATTAAGTAGTATTTTGACTTTTATTCACTTTGACCTTTTGCATTGCCAAAAAGGCAAAAAAAAATGGTTCAGACAGTGTGCTAATTGGCAACTTTACAGCCAAAAAACTACTTTGTTTACATTTTTATGCTCCTCGTAAAATTTCGGGGAAACATATAGTCGCCGCCTTGTCCGTCCGTCCGTCCGCTTTTCTTGTCCGGGACATAACTTTGAAACAACAAGAGGTATCAACATGAAACTTTGTAGGTAGATAGATCTCATTGAGTAGGTGTGCAGTGCACAAGAATCGTTACTCTGTCTTGCCTAATTTTTGAAATATTCCCCTTTGATCATTTTTACTCTTTGAACTTTGTTCGGGAAATAACTCTAAAACTATAAAAGGTATCAACATGAAACTTTGTAGGAAGATAGATCTCATTGAGAAGGTGTGCAGTGCACAAGAACCGTAACTCTGCCTTGCCTATTTTTTAATTATTCCCCTTTGTTTATTTTCACACTTTGAACTTTGTCCGGGACATAACTCTAAAACTATAAGAAGTATCAACATACAACTTTGTAGGTAGATAGATCTCATTAAGTAGGTTTGCAGTGCTAAAGAATCATAACTCTGCCTTGCCTTATTTTGAAGTAATTGCTCTTTGTTTATTTTTACTTTTTGACTTTTGTCCGGGACATAACTCTAAAACTATAAGAGAATGTAAATAAAGCAATATATTGTATATTAACCAAAATGAGGCAATTTACACATTACCAATGGAACTTACAACCCACGTTAATTTCAAAAAGAGGTCAAAATATGCAAAAATTGCCCTTACTGCGTTAGTAACGCAGTAGAAATATAGTCACACATATTGAAAAAATAACCATTAATCGCCCATAGCATGTGAAATATTACTTGAATCTTTCTACTTTTCCTACACTTTTCTCAAGTTTGAATTCATCGAAATATTTTTGCTCATCTGGAGGCATGCTGCTTTAAAGAACCTAAACAAAGCCTTGTCTAATTTTGGTGTTATTGCCCTTTGTTCATTTTAACACTTTGAATTTTACCTGGGACATAACTCTGAAACTATAAGAGATATCATCAGGAAACTTTATAGATATATAGATCTCATTGAATAGAAGTGCAGTGCAAAAAAACATAACTCTGCCTTGCCTAATTTTTGGGGTTTTTGCCCTTTGTTCATTTTTTTATACTTTCCTGTGTCCAAAACCTTCTCGGGGAGCATCACCCGGTTCAACCAGTTCTTGTGTTACTTTTATGAGAAATAATCTTACATTCACTGCTACTTTTTCAGGTGATAAGCATCTATAACATGCTCTAAACTATTATTTTAAACATAATAAAACATGTTTACCCTTTCCAAGGAATGAAATACTTATTCCTTTCTGAAGCATAATGTGCCTTTAACTTCTGAAGCATAATCTGCTTTTAACAGGTAAAAAAAATAAACAAGAGGGCCATGATGGCCCTGAGGTTGCTCACCAGTATATAGGCCCCCGGAGCGGGGCCAGTTAAAACCCCAGGGCTTTTATTTGAACAAACTTGGAAGTCACCCATTAGAAGATGTTTCATGATATTAAGTTTTAACTACACACATGTAATGAAAAACAATGACCTTCACACCCCGCCCCCCCCGCAGGGCCAATTTTAACCCAATGGCTTTTATTTGAACAAACTTGGTAGACACCCATAAGAAGATGTTTCATGCTAAATATCTTAGCTACAGCTCTCTGGGTCCTTTAAAAGAAGATTTTTTAAGTTTATACTATATGCATAGAGGGAAAATCAATGACCCCCTGGGGCAAGGCCAATTTTAATCCCAGGGCTTTTATTTGAACAAACTTGGTAGACACTCACTAGAAGATGGTTCATGCCAAATATCTAAGCTCTAGCTCTTTGGATATATTAAAAGAAGATATTTTAAGTTTTTTTTCTTTTGGTTGCCATGGCGACCAGTTTTGCATAGAATTAAATTCTTTGTTCAAATTTTAAAGGTGACCACAAAAGGAACATCCTTGTAAAGTTTAAATGAAATTGGGTTTGCAGTTTACGAGATGATGTCTTTTAAAATAAAAGTTTATGGACTGATGCCAGACAAAAAGCGATTACAAAAGCTCATCATGTCACTTTGCGACAGGTGAGCTAAAAAAGCCTTTCAAATGAAAACAAAAGCAATTCTGAGGCAAAATGGGCCTTTAACTAACAAGAGGGCCATGATGGCCCTGAGGTCGCTCACCTGTATATAGGCCCCCCAACTCCCACCCCCCCCCCAACGTTGCAGGGCCAATTTAACCCAAGGGCTTTTATTTGCACAAACTTGGTAGACACCCATAAGAAGATGTTTCATGCTAAACATCTAAGCTCTAGCTCATTGGGCTTTTTAAAAGAAGATTTTTTTTTAAGTTTTTACTATACACATATAGTTAAAAACAATGACACCCCTGGGGCCGGGCCAGTTTTGACCCCAGGGCTTTTATTTGAACAAACTTTGTAGACACTTACTAGAAGATGTTTCATGCTTAATATCTAAACTCTAGCTATTTGGGTTTTTTCAAAGAAGATTTTAAGTTTTTGCTATACACATATAAAGAAAATCAATGACCCCCGGGGCAGGGCCAATTTTGACCCCAGGTCTTTTATTTGAACAAACTTTGTAGACACTCACTAAAAGATGTTTCATGCTTAATATCTTAACTCTAGCTATTTGGGTTTTTTCAAAGAAGATTTTTTAAGTTTTTGCTATACACATATAAGGAAAATCAATGACCCCCGGGGCGGTGCCAATTTTGACCCCAGGGCTTTTATTTGAACAAACTTGGTAGACACCTATTAGAACATGTTTGATGCTAAATATCTTAGCCATAGCTCTTTGAGTTCTTTAAAAGAAGATTTTTTAAGTTTTTACTATATGCATATAGGGAAAATCAATGACCCCCCGGGGCGGGGCCAATTTTGACCCCAGGGCTTTTATTTGAACAAACTTGGTAGACACTTATTAGAACATGTTTCATGCTAAATATCTTAGCTCTAACTCTTTTGGTTCTTTAAAAGAAGATTTTTTAAGTTTTTACTATATGCATATAGGGAAAATCAATGACCCCCTGGGGCGGGGCCAATTTTGACCCCAGGGCTTTTATTTGAACAAACTTGGTAGACACCTATTAGAACATGTTTGATGCTCAATATCTTAGCCATAGCTCTTTGAGTTCTTTAAAAGAAGATTTTTTAAGTTTTTACTATATGCATATAGGGAAAATCAATGACCCCCGGGGTGGGGCCAATTTTGACCCCAGGGCTTTTATTTGAACAAACTTGGTAGACACCCATTAGAACATGTTTCATGCTAAATATCTAAGCTCTAGCTCTTTTGGTTCTTTAAAAGAAGATTTTTTAAGTTTTTACTATATGCATATAGGGAAAATCAATGACCCCCTGGGGCGGGGCCAATTTTGACCCCAGGGCTTTTATTTGAACAAACTTGGTAGACACCTATTAGAACATGTTTGATGCTCAATATCTTAGCCATAGCTCTTTGAGTTCTTTAAAAGAAGATTTTTTAAGTTTTTACTATATGCATATAGGGAAAATCAATGACCCCCGGGGTGGGGCCAATTTTGACCCCAGGGCTTTTATTTGAACAAACTTGGTAGACACCCATTAGAACATGTTTCATGCTAAATATCTAAGCTCTAGCTCTTTTGGTTCTTTAAAAGAAGATTTTTTAAGTTTTTACTATATGCATATAGGGAAAATCAATGACCCCCCGGGGCGGGGCCAATTTTGACCCCAGGGCTTTTATTTGAACAAACTTGGTAGACACTCACTAGAAGATGGTTCATGCCAAATATCTAAGCTCTAGCTCTTATGGTTTTTAAAAGAATATATTTAAAGTTTTTTCTTTCGGTTGCCATGGCAACCAGAGTTCTGCATGGAATTAAATTCTTTGAACAATTTTTAAAGGTGAAGTTTGGATGAAATTGGCTTAGTGGTTTATGAGGAGATGTCATTTAAAGTAAAAGTTTACGGACGGACTGACGGACGGAGGCCGGACGAAAAGCGATCACAAAAGCTCACCCTGTCACTTTGTGACAGGTGAGCTCAAAATAGCATACAAATAGCATATTACAGAACAGATGGTTTGTGCAACTTCTGAATTCTATTGTATTTCATAAATGTCGTATTTAAGAAATTAATTCATAAATTGTTGAATACAAACACATGCAAAATGTCTTTTTGTTGTTATAAATTATTTGGGGGGTCATAGGTGTTAATCAATAGAAACATAATATAATTGTACTGAAAGAACAGAATTGCCCTACATTCATGACTGTAATCACTGAAAATAGAAGACTTATTTCAACAATTTATTACAAAGTTATAAGACATAACATTAACATATGCATTTTGCAAAGTCTACAAATAACTTGGTTCTATTACCAATGTTACATATACATTTGTATATCTATAAGCAATATATATCATGCCTCAACAAAATCTGAAAGTTCAAGTTTTTATTTCTAATGTAATTCAATATTTCATTCTTATGGCAACAATTTAGTTAATGAGTATTATATGACATAAATGCCTTAAAGAAAGAAATAGGTAAGAATATTTTCTTGGTACAAAACAAACTTTAATAAAGCCCCTAGGACACATATCTCTAATTCATTACAAAGAATAAACATTTCTTCTCTTTAACATTTATACAAAAAAAAATTTACACTTTCATATTGTAAGTGGTAAAACTATACAAATTTTATAGAATATCTTAAACAACTAGTTCATCAAAAAACTAAATGGCTAACATTTACCGGCATAAAGAGACAACATTAGCTGTAACCCTTAATCTGCCAAAATTTGTGTAATGAATTTGCCCCACTATGTGTTTTGAACAGTTCATTTCAAGTTAAAGGTTTTTCAATATTTTAATACATTAAATAAGCTACATGTACCAACAGCATAGAGCCTGGTCCGACTGCAAAGTGTGCATATCTGTGCTGGCTGCTGGCTGCCAGATTCTATACTGGCAATTGCTAATCAATTTTAGTTCCAGCACAGTTTAACAGTTAAAACTTAACTCAAAGTTCAAAAGGGAATAATTATACAGTTCATACACACTTTCTTTTGTAAAGATTTCAACTTCTGGAGAATCAATTATTTAATTATTGCACAAGGACATCTTCCATTGTATACATTTCCTATTCTTTACCAAAAGTGATGTCCTTAATAAATATTTACAAAGTTTAAGCTGTAAAAATAAAGAATTTCTAAAAGAATATCAATTATACATGAGTACTTGCATATTTTACATTAATTATGGCTGATGCATAATGCCACTTGCGATTTTATTTTGTAAACATATTTGGCAATGTATTTCTTATTTTTCAAATTCACCTTTTCCTATTGTGCATGATCTGTAACTTGTTACTCATGTGAAGTTATATTTTAGTATTTAAAAGTTCAGTTTGTTTTGAATCTCAGTTTATGCACTTGACCATACTAGGGGTGTAAGACCTTTTCTTGCTGAAGTCCATCACACAAATTTTTCCCTTCTCATCATTATAAGTAAAGCCAGAGCTACCACTATCAAAATTATCTGAAATCATAAACATTGTACTGTTATATAACAATGAAAGTCTCAATTTTGTGTCTTTTTTAATGTTTCAGTATAACATAACCATTTCCTTGTTATGCACAAGTAAGGAACAGCATAACTTCAAAACTATATTCATTTGTTAGCATGTAGATATAGTGTAAAGAACCAACACTTACTAAAATAGATTACCCATACCATTATTTAAGTTTTTAACTGAATAAAGGGGAATAACTTAGGAAAACAGATCCCAAATAATGTTACTTGCCAGGATTATGCCATTCGTATTGGTAAGTAAATATGTGCAGTATTAAGCCTTGACTTTTTGAGAACTTCAGATATATAAAAATTGTATGTCTTTGGCACACGCATTATTTTACTTGGGGACCATATGCCGCTTTTCATGGAATGGCACTAACGTGTCACATTGAAGGTTCCATGATAACCGCCATATGAACACATCTGCGGATGTTTCAAAATTCTAAATTTTACCAGTTCATGTTAAATGTTGAATTCTGCTTAAGCCGGTGCTAAGGGGCGTGGACGGTAGTTTGCACTTGACAGTACCGTCCATGAACAGGCTCAATCAAACAGAGCCTGCAACATTTTCAATTTTGCCGCGTTGGGCTTTCTTTAGGGATTCTTATTTCACTCTATTTTAATATTATTCAACATACCAAACCAAATTTGAATGTGCAGAAAGGGGAGATTATAAGGAGAAAATGGGTACTGCAATTTTTATCACAGATATTTCACTTGCTTAAATTATAACCTTAATGTAGTGAATATAATTAGTAACTTGTTTAGTATCCAGCCATTTTAAAAAAGACACGTGTCTATCAAACTTATCAAAATAGGTTAACCAAAGCTAGATTAAAAGGGAAATTATTTAATTAAATTGGATATTGCAGTTTTTACTTGTTATGACAGGTATGTCTTGGCTGATAACTGAGAAAAAGAAAGAAGTAATTTTGTTTGTTTGTTTGATTGGGTTTTACATCTCACCAACACAAAATAGGTCATATGGCGATGTTCCAGCTTTACTGGTGGAGGAAGACCTCAGGTGCCCTTCCATGCATTATTTCAGGCACGAACGGGCACCTGAGTAGAACCACCGATGTTCCGTAAGCTAGCTGGATAGCTTCCTCACATGAAAGAATCCAAAGTCCCTGTCAGGATTCGAACCCACAGCGGTGAGGGGCAAGTGGTTTGAAGTCAACGATCTTAACCACTCGGCCACTGACGCCCCAAGAAGTAATTGGTACAGATAAAGCTAAAGTATATCCAACTTAACAACAACTGTTTTTAAAGTGCTAAGGTGAGAAATCAACTGGAAAAAAAAGATCCCACAGTTATGTTACAAGCCAAGTTCATGGACATCAAGTTTTGTAATGGTGAGTAAATTATGAAGCCATTGGAATATCTTGCTGGAATAGGCTTACCTCAAAAAGACAAATGGAAAGACAGCTGGGCAGTTGGATGGACAGTTCAATTACTTCATATGACCCAGGGCTTAAAATTGTGTGCGTGTGTTTTTTTCTATAAATTTACTTGGCCACTCATCCTGGTTCCCCATCCATTACAAACCAATAATAAAACCCTATCTAGCTATGTAATGTTCAAATGTATTGTGTAAGTGAATCAGCAAAGTTTTGATTGGGTATATTTAACAAACAGTTTATCACCTATTGAATATATACATTACCTGCAGAATTCCCAAAGCTATTCCAGCAGCTCCTAGTGTGTAGAAATTTTCTTTGACCCATTCTTTACCTTTTTCATAACAACCCTGAAATATAATAGAAACAATATTATTGTATGCAAGTCACATTGTTACGTTATGCATGTATTAATGCACAATTAACAAACGTTTAAGAGAAACCCCTGATGCCAATCTATGTAGCATATGTATAATTGCAGGCATGAGCTGGCATCAGAAAAGAACGTAAGTACTGACCTAAGACCTAACTGAGTCAGGCTTCCTCACATGAAATGATTCAATATCCTTGGCTAGACTCAGTAGTGGTGAGAGACAACTGATTCAAAGTGACCAACCATACTGACCTGGCCGTGAAAGTTCTATTCTGTCTGTTGAAACTTTTTTTTGGGGGGGTGGGGGGGGTTGGGGGGGGGGGGCAGTATTTAACCTGACACTGTAAAGGTCATATAATAACTTCCAAGCTTTATGTAACTGCTGAGGAAGACCACAATGAATGAAAATTATATTTATATGTATCTTGGTAGAACTATTATCATTTTTTTCAAGCTAGCTTTCATGGCATCTCAAATGTCTCAAGTATATGTTAGTGTTTATTCGTGCTGTTCTACAGGAATAAGAAACTTCGACGGGAGCGATAATTTCTGTAGAACAGCTACGGATAAATACAAACATACTTACAAATGTAGTGTCAAACTTTATTTGGCCTAGTTATCATTCACATAATTACGTCACTACGCTGTTCTATGAGGTACATGTACTATGAAAAATAGAAGGCGACTATGAACGGAATTCGATATAGTACTGACTTTTGTTTTTCTATGAAAATTAACACATAATTTTTAAGAAAAACAGCATTTTCATTGGATGACAAATAAAGCTGGACACTAAGCATTATTTGAGTACACAGAGGAGTGGGACATTTGATTAAATGTTTGTATCTGTTAACACTAATGTTATGAAAGCCATTGTTGAATACATATGCATTTACAATTAAATCAGTCTCATCTTGTATAGAATGTAATACATGTACATGTAGTAATATATTTTAACAAAATAATGATGTGACCATTTCTTCTGTTAAAAATTTCATGGCAAATACTTTAAGAAAATATTAAGAAAAAAAATCCCATTTTAAAAAAGAGTCTATGACAAAAATTTAAAACTGAAATTACTGAAAAACACAAAAATTAACAGTATCAGTTGAGTACTTACAATGTCATAAGCTACAGTTTGTCCTTGTGAGCCACAATTTGGTCCATCACAACAAGAATCTGGTATTGAGACTGGGTATTCCGGATCTAGCAAACCATACCAGTCTGTGTAGTTAAATACACCACAGCATCGTTCCTACAATAAATACATCTTAAATTATTATATGATTATTATAATATGCTATTTATCTCTTGAGAGTTTTAAAAATAGCTTGAATTATTTTATGCTTTTGAGTGGATTACTGATTTCACAGTGAAAATTATCAAAATAAAATTTTTACTACTTTTTAAAGATTTTCCCATGGGGTACCTCAAATTTAAAATGATACATCAAATCTTATCTTTCATATTATATATGTATTATATAAAGATATCGGCCTTTTGTTCAAATTAGTTTTCAAACTTTTGAACATTAATTGAGTAAGAACAATCAGTCATGGTATGCCAGACAGGGAGTCAGCAAATTAGCAAATTAAAGTGACTCCACTGAGGTTTAAAAGCCTAAGAACATAAAATTTGAATTTTCGTACATAAATGAGCTGGGGCACTTTAAACTGAAATATATGCAAAGATAGTCAAGAAATATACTTCGAAATAAATTGAAAATCATATTTTTATGCTTTTCTCAGCTGGATTTCATTTTTGGTCATATTTTTATAATTTGAATAATTATTCTGGAAAAACGAAATTGCGCGAATGATCTGAAATTTTGCACAAAGATTAGTGGTCTAAACCTACATCAAATGGTACATTTATCTGGAAAAATATGTTCAGTTCCATCATTTCAAAAAATCTCAGTGGAGTCCCTTTAAGCAAAAACCTATTGACCTACAACTTCTTGAAAGTAACACCCTTTGTAAGACAATGGTTTTGGTTGTGGCAGAGAGTTTCTTGCTATGAAAGGTTAATAAATTGTGAAGTCTTGCTTTGTGGAAGATCTATAATGTTGTTGTAAATTAGCTATTGGCTATTGTTCTACAGGGAGCTGCTCATCAGAGTTAACACAGAGTAATTTGAATATTCAACATTGACACATTATACTGACTTCAGTCTGACACTGCCTGGAGTCATACCTTCAAAGTTATGTTAGAGAGAAGAAGAATGTATGATCAGTAAAGTCTATAAATATCATTTTCATTTGTATAACAAGTCTGTGGATCAAACTTGTGACCTCCAACATTCAAGGTGGACGCTGTATCACTGCTGCAGCTAAGCATGTAAAGCCCCAGTCACATTAGAGCTTACGACCAGTGAAGACCAGTTCACGATCACCAGTGACCTCTGGTCGCGGACAATCTTTAAAACGTCTTACGACGGTCATCGATGATCTTTGACAGTCGCAGGTTATCTTATTTAGGTCCCACGACCACTTTCAGTCGTAGAGAGGTTTTTGAGCTTGCACAAAAACCTCCTTGCGATCAAACAGGTCGCTAGTGATCTTATAAGGTCTTAAGGCTGTTGCACGATGGTCGTTCGGAAGTGCGACAATCTTACGACAGTCTTTACAAATTGCCACTAGTCACTGATAATCTTAAGTAGTCATTAGTAATCGTGTGATGGTCGTACGACAAGTTGTAGGTGATCGCATGTTATGTCACGGGTAGTCGTAAGTAATCCCAGGCAATCTTGAGACCATCGTACGTTTACTTATGACCTGTCGTGCGTTTGTCAATGATGACTTGTCTTACGATACTCGCAAAAGTAAATTTATCCGTGCAAAAATGGTTTCGGTCGCAGACAATCGCTGATGATCGTCAGTTTTACAAGTCGCCGGTGGTCGCAAGTAATCGTAAGCTCTAGTGTGACTGGGGTTTAAATAACTAGAATTATAACTTACTGTAGACTGGATATCATCCCACTCATCACGTTTGTTTTTATCTTTTAATCCTTCCAGTAATTTATTTTTCAACTCTGTATCAATCTGGATTTAAAAAAAAGATTTTTTATTATTCAATAACTTTAATTATATTTCAATATAATATTGTTTGTTTGGTTTAGATTTAAAATCATAATCATTTACAATGTAACACTGGCAAAACTTGAGTGATATAATTTTCCATCTCAAAATTGGTTTAAGTAATTAAGCTTTCAAGGGCTTTTGAACCACTCACCACCAAACATAATAAATGTGCATGGCCACGATGTTAATGAGTTTGACAAGCTCTAGTACTCCGTTTAAAGGATTGGAAATGGTTTCATATTCAAAGACATGAAGGCCTTGACCTTTGACCTACAGAATCCAAAACCAGTATGGTTCTCCAACTATGACACATACATGTAATAATTATATCCTTAATGAAAATTGATGGCTGTGAGACAAAACAGACAGAACATCAACTTGATAGATGGACTGACAAAGCAGGTGAAAATCAGTATGTCTCCAAAAGACAGTGTTGTGAAAAACATAACAAAACATAGTTTGCCCAACAACATGCTCATTTGAGCTGCGTCATGACAAAACCAACATAGAGCGTTTGCGACCAGCATGGATCCATCCTCGCAGTCTGATCAGGATCCATGCTGTTTGCTATCAGTTTCTCTACTAGTAATAGAATTGGTAAGCGAACAGCAGACTGTGCGGATGCGCAGGCTGGTCTGGATCCATGCTGGTCGCAAACGCACTATGTTGGTTTTGCCATGATGCGGCTCATTTATATACTTACTTCTCCATGGAACACATAAGCAATGATTCCAGCACCTACAGACAGGGCAAGTATCACAAGAACACACATTAAATACTGAAATATAACAAAATATATCAAGATTTCATCATACTGAAATACATCTACATGTATATAGCTAGAAAACATTAAATAAAAACTTTTATTTTATTTTCGATTAGTTTTTTAAGTTGTAACCATATTTAACTATGGAAATTTGCAACTATCTAATATTACAAAATATGGAATAACCCTCAAAACAAGAAAGAGTTAATATTTCTTTATCCAACAAAGCTTAATATAATCATTAAAATCAGTAACGTTCAATGATATGCCTCGTCATTGCTTCTTATCACATGTACATTCTTGAACTTTATTAATTCTGATCATGCAGCTAAAAGAAAATGTGTTTTATATTCGTCAAAAGATTGTTTTAATATTTTAGTCAGCTTCATTTTAAAAGTACACTAATCAAATGCACTGCTTTGAAGCATTAATGACCTTTGTCTGAGGTTACAAAGAAATTTCCTCAGATCTCAGGTATTTAGTTAAGTCAGAAACTGACACAATTAAAGTGTACCATAACTAATAAAAATCCTTAGATTTAAGACAGAGCTTAGAAAGAAAATGCATGACCGCGTGGCTCTATCCGCCTAAATTTCTTTTTAAATAAATAGAAATTAATCATTGTATTCATTGAACAGTACAGTGCCTGGTCAGACGGCATACAGTTCCAGGCTTGCCTAGCTATAATTAAGTGATGGAAAGTCAACATCATTGCCAGTTAAGAGAACCACAGGATATTCTGAAATTAATATATAATATAAAATAAGATAATGCCTTGAACTTACTATGAGCATGACGCACTGGCTTTGCATCCAAACACCAATAAATCCAAACAGACACACAACAACTACTATTGTACCAGACGAAATTAGAAGAGCTGTCGCTGTGAAAAACTCATCACTAGGCATTAGGTCCACATAGTTTGACCTAGATATTTGGAGGTATCCCCCGATAACCATCATAGCTATACCCATAATCTGTAAAATAGGTAAATAGTCTTACTACCTGTAAGTGATTGTGTCAACAAGAGATGTAAGAAGAAAAACAAATGTATTTTAAAGGGTACTCTCTAAAATTTTCAGCCACAATTATTTTCCACTGATTACATTAAAGAATAAAAACAGAAAAAAAGTCAATGTCAACAATTTGAACATTTACAGGGATCACTTTTTATGATTACTTTTATTACTATTTTCAATGTTAATGAAAACGTTATTGGGGACAATAACTCAGATGCATCACAATTACATATTAATGCATAAGAAGATTACATTACACAAATGTATAACTGAGATAATTATATTTTAATATTGTTGTTGGGTTAAGTCACATTGACACCGCATTGGTCATGATTCATGTATTGCGACTGACTTCAGCTTTATTCAGGTGGAGAAGTCTTTGTTTGTTTGTTTGTTTCATTTTACGCCTTTTCCCAACAGTATTTCAGTCATATAGGTGGGTAGTTTCCTAACCATCGTTCCTGGAGAGTTACACCAGTACTAGACTACCTTCCTCTGTGCTAAACTACCATAGCATCTCCCGGGGATTGAACCCATGCCAGAGTGGTAACTGGATTAGAAGTCATTGATTCTAACCCCTCGGCCATAGAGGGGGTTAAGGTGGAGAAGTCAACTATATGATTATGGCATACATATATATCTTCGATCAGATGATGAAATAACACATACCAAAAACGCGATATTGGCTATAATAAAAAGAATCCTTGTCGCTCTGTACTTTGTTGACCCCATCTTGATGTTGGATGGCTAACCTGAAATTATACATAATTATGCATGTTCACTCATTTTTCTTGATTCAGATGTTAAAGAATTATATTTGTATTTCACCAGTTTATGAATAAATCAATTTATAGAATTCCTAAAACCCATTTTTAATGTGTATGAATAGATATATACTTACCTATATGTACCTCATGATCAATAATCGATACACATTTAAAAAAATCGATATTAAATGCTGATTAATTATTTTAATGTCTATAAAACATGAAGATTCACCCAAATCATATACAAAAACAGTAGCCATGTGTAGCACTTAGCTGTTGTTACATTAATTATGAAGACATTTCGAACATAGCAGTGATGACTAAAAATGATTAGGTAAAAATCAAGCAAAGGACATTTATAAACAGGACACAACATATTTGTATGAACAGAACATATATTTTACTAAAATCATTTAAACAGGTTGAAAGTGTTAGTGAAATATATACAAGAAATTAGAATACATGTCATCTGATATTGAATTGTATCGTCAACTGGTCAATACGCTTTGCCATGAATCAATGACAGCTCTACAATGTATGTTTATCTGTTACATCAATTATCATTTTGTTACATACGTGATTCTCTGCAATACAACCCAGGATGTCCGAGACCATTTTCTTTGACCTTTTTGCAACAGGTCAAATAAGTTTACAGCATTTTAATATTTTGGAAGATTAATATGATGCCTGCATTTGCTATAATTAATGTATGTAAACAATTAATAAAATCCATTAAAATCAAGACACTAACTACTTAGCTGGATCGAAATAGCAGTTTCGTTGTTTGTTTTTTTTGTAAAACAAACAAACAAAAAAAACGTAAGAGCTGATACAATTTAAGCAACACACCTGAAAACTTATTTTTACCTTCTTAATATTTTATTCTCTTATTAAACAAAGTTGTTTAAAGTTTGAAATATAAGTGTATCATTATTTATGAAGATATATTTGCCATTTTTTCATACATTATTTTGCAAAACAACAGTTTCAGTTAGGTTTAATGTTTACCTTTTTCAACCGGTCTGTGTTCGCCCTGTTTGTGTCTAAAAATAACTACAGTCGCTATAAATAGCATGTTGGAAAAACTTGTCAAACTGGTTTGAATGACCTTTGACCCGTGAAACGAAAGACATAAATACCATTTTCTTCATATTTGTAAGGATAAATTAAACAAATCTGAAAATTTAAATGCTTCATTATATCTGATTATTCATATATTCGTATATCTTTAAATGTAGCGTTAAACTCATTCAGATTAAAAACTAAACTGTTTTAGCTGATTCAACACCACTAAATTTATTTGATTAGTAACGATTCGCCACAATAACATCTACATCTACATCATACTGCTTAACAATCAATTATGATTATGACTAGCAGGCGCGTTGTCAGGGAACTGTTAATAAAAGAATTTATTTATGTGCAAATTAAAAAGTTAAAAGAATAAAAGTTCTACAAGACTATTAATTTAAAAACATAGTGTGCAGTTTAGAATTTATAGAATGGGTCAAGCCTCTCAGTAAAGATGTTTAAACTGGGGCTAGACTGAACTGTTAGGGGAAGGCTATTCCAAAGACGTATGCTCCTAGGAAAGAAAGAATTTTGATGATATTGTGTCCTCGAGTAGGGTATCAGGTAGTTCAGATTTCTTGTTTGAGTAAGGTGTTGGTGGTCTACAAAAACAATGTTGTTTTGGATTTTATACAAGTAGGTTACAGCACTGATGTTTCGACGCTGTTCAAGGGTTTGCCAATTAAGATCATTTATCATTTTTGAGACACTACTTGTATAGTCATAATCATTAAAAATGTATCTAGCAGCTGATCTTTGTACTTGCTCTATCTTATAAATTAAGTATTTCTGCCAAGGATGCCAAACTATGGAGCAATATTCAACCTGAGGTCTAACATAGGTCTTATATGCAGTTTCTTTTATCTTTTTATTTGGAGTTTTAACATTTCTTCTAATGAATCTGAGGGAGTTATTAGCTTTAGATGTGATGTTGTTTATATGTTTGGTCCATGAAAGGTCTTGACTAATAGAGACTCCTAGGTATTTCGCTTCTTGAGTTGAGTTTAGTTGGATGTTATGGAGGGTATAAGGAAATATTACAGGGTTTCTTTTTCTTGTTATCCTGAGAACTTCACATTTGTCAGGGTTGAATTCCATGGACCAGTCTTTTTCCCATTTTTCTAAAGCATGAAGGTCATCTTGGAGGGTTTGGGCATCTTGTTTGGATCTGATGGTTAGGTAGACAACAGTATCATCTGCAAAGAGTCTAACCTTACCTTTGACACTATCTGGGAGGTCATCTATGTAAGAAAGGAAAAGACAGGGACCTAATACCGAGCCTTGGGGGCACCTGAGAGAACTGGTAGAATTCCTGATTTTTGACCTTCAACTACAACTTGCTGGGAGCGTGACTTAAGGAAGGAATGGACCCAATTTGTAACCTCATAACTTATACCCAATCTTTCTAGTTTACTCACAAGTTTGTGATGGTCCACCTTATCAAATGCCTTACTGAAATCCATGACTATGACATCAGTTTGTTGGCCACTTTCAAGATTGTCATGAATTTCCTGGGAGAAGCTTACTAGCTGGGACTCACAACTCCGTTTTGACCTGAAGCCATGTTGATAGGGGCTAAGGATGTTGTGTTTATCATAAAAGGACATAATATTGGACACTAAGATGTGCTCCATCAATTTGGACGCTATGCATGTGAGGGAGATTGGTCTATAATTGCTGGGTTTGCATTTTGGGCCTTTTTTGTAAACTGGGGCAATTATTGCATGCTTCCAGTCTTCTGGGACAATACCTGTTTTAAGTGAGATCTGGAAGATGTGGGTCAGTATGGGAGTTACCTCTTGATGGAGCTCTTTTAATAACCTAGGGGATATTTGGTCAGGACCAGAAGCTTTATTTGGGTTTAGGTCTTTTAAAAGTTTCTTCACACCATCTTCCGATATAGATACTTCTGGCATAGATGGGTGGTGTTTTGGAATAAGCTTCTGTTTGCAAGCCTGGGATAAGCTAAGGGGCTGAGGCCGAGAGAAGACAGACTCAAACTGGGAGTTAAGGATATCTGCTTTTGCGACTGGATCAGTAAATGTTTGACCTTCTGATTTGAGGGGTGCCACACCACAGCTTTCAGTTTTATTACTTTTAACATATTGGTAGAATTTTTTATTTTTCACATTTTGGGAGTCTTGGCTAAAAATGACAGAGTCTAGGTATTGCCAGTATGCTTTCCTAGTTTCTCTTTGGATTTCACTTTTAAGTACTTTGAGCTTTTTGACCAAATCATTTGATGGGGACTTTGACCTTTTAATGTTTGAATAAGTTCTATCACGTTTCCTAATTTTTCGAATAATGGACTTGTTTAACCATGGTAGATCTCGACGTGTTTTAGTGACTTTAGTTGGTATGTGAATAGAACAAAGGTGGTTTAGTTCGTCCTTGAAGGAAATCCAGGCTTTGTTGGGATCAGTGTGGTGTGTTTCACTATAGACCTTGGCATATTTACTTACGTCATTTTTTAAACAATTCCAGTTTGCCTTATTATAACATTGGATTTCCCTCTTTGATTGAAGTGGACGCCCTCTGTTAATTTTGATTTCATGAAAGACTATGTCATGATCTGAGGAGCCTAAGGGAGGTAGGGTTTTTGTACTATGTACGTGGGAAGGCATGTTTGTGAGGAACAGGTCAAGGACATTGTTACCTCTGGTAGGGATGTTGACCATTTGCTGTAGGTTCAAGTTAATGAGATTTTCAAGGAAAGAAGTGTATATGTTTGGGAACTTACAACCTTCTGTCAGGGATTCTGTTGACCAGTCGATGCTTGGCATATTGAAGTCCCCAAGCACCCAGACAATACTATTTTTGGGGATCTTTTTTATGGAAGACCAAAGTTCATTGAGGGGTATCTCATCCTTCTCATTAGGTTTATAGAAGGAAGAGATATAGATGTCCTTAAAACCTTTAAGGGACATTTTGGCCCAAACTGAATTATATTTTGATTTCAGATCAGGTTGTTCCTGGCTTAGGATGGATTTCGATATAGCAACGAGGGTTCCCCCACCTTTGCCCTCTAGTCTATCATCCCTATATACCTGGAAGTTTAAGAAGTCAGGAAAAATTTCAGCAGTTGATATTTCAGGTTTTAGCCATGTTTCAGTACAGCAAATAATGTCAGGTTTGACTTGGGATATTACCTGTTGTAAGTCTGGTATTTTATTTTTAATAGAGCGGCAATTTATGTTTAAGACGCACAACCTTTCACATTCTTTAAGTTTTTTGTTTGCCTTTGGAGGATTACGCTTATTTTTGGGATTAGGGGTGGAAGTAGCAATTGGTTGTGTGCCTGGACTGCTTGAACTAATGTGTGATCTATGGGGGGAGGAGATATCACTATCTTCACTCATGATGGAATTGAGAGGGGAGAATCTAGTATTTTCATACAATGAATTTAGGGATTCAGACAGAGAGGTAGAATAATTTATATCTCCACAATTGGTGCAGTGCCACACAAATCTGGAATCTGATAGGCAGTCATATGTGGAGTTACCTATACCTTGGCAGTTTGCATGGAACCATATATTACATGAGTCACAGAGGATCCCATTTTGATCCCAAGTGACTTCTTTCTTACAGCTTCCACAAGGATAATGGGAGTTATCAGCTGACTTAGGGCCAGGATTTAATTCGACATCTGACGATTGTGTGATGATAAGACAATGTATAAAAACAAGAATAACGATTCGCCATATAACGATTCGCCACGGTCAAATAACGATTCGCCACAATTAAATAACGATTCGTCACAGTATTATTAAAAAAATAATTTTCTTAGTTTGACTAGTCCTAGTTCAATTATATCAACATTTTTAAAAATAATTCGACAATAATTGACAATATTTACTTAATGGAATCGATTTATATAAAATTAAGAAAAACGCTGAAATAAAAAATGACCCAAAATGAAAAGCATTTAAACGCTTTTCACTCGAATTGGGCTAAGAAAAGCATAAAAATATCATTTTCAATTAATTTTGAAGTATATTTCTTAACTATCTTTGCACAAGTAGCACGTGGATACTTGAATTAGTTGATTGGTATTTATAGCAGAAAGTTTTTTAAAGTTACTTAATGGGTAAAATATAAATAAAACTAAAAAAATTGATGAAATAAAAAAAAATAATTGATATAACTTAATTATATACATGGTAGAAGCCAGATTTTTTTTTATTTATAACAGTTTTCTATTCTCCCGTTTTATACATTTATTTCGTCAGCGTTTTCCTTCTATATCTATATCGCCCCCTTTTTACTATATGTCTATATTGCCCGCGTTTTCTGTAGCCACTTTATTAATTATACAAGGGTGAAGTGAACGATTACTTGAAATATACAAGTGTCGGTGCGTGATTAAGTCAAATACACAGGTGACACGTGGATACTTGAATTAGTTGATTGATATTCATAGTAGAAAGTTTTTTTAAGTTACTTAACTACATGGTAGAAGCCAGATTTTTTTTATTTGTACCAGTTTTCTATTCTCCCGTTAAAATTTTCCGTCTATATCTACGTATATCGTGCGCTTTTTCACTATATGTCTATATTGCCGCGTTTTCTATTTCGACTTGAGGAAATATAGTATAAAGTATCATGTGTATGACTAAATTAAACACGAAAGTGCCACGTGCAGGATTATATCAAATATACAAGTGACACGTGGACACTTTATTTAAATAATAAAAAAAACTGGAATCAGTATATACATAAATATATAATTTATACATTTCTTACTGTTTTATTGTCTGGTAGAACATAACATGATTGTTCAAGAAAATTCATATCTTGATTATCTAGGTTGATAAAGATTAAAATGGGGAATATCATTGATATGAACTTACCGAAAATTATGGAGCAACTTCAACAATGTCCTCTTCGAAACAAAACTGGCGGGTTTTATATCCATGATAGGAAAACACACTGTACGAATGTTGACACAAATAATCACTCATATATTTTACTTGACTGTGTCCTACAACGAGTGCCATTTTAACAATACCTTAGTGAAAGCACTTTATATAATATTTGATACATAATTACACTTTAAAAGTTAAAGAACACAATAATTTTATAATCCAATTCAAATTAACACTTTGTAAGCAATGAAATGAATTCAAGGCATGTAACTTTTTTTTCGGAAATGAGGGATGTGCACAAGAATTGATTGTATTT